CCGTTTGATTTTTGCCATATGGTGCCAAATACCAGATTTGACTTAAGCCTTTCTTTTTCTGCATCTTTGGATGTTGTAGAGATGGAATTGAGTATTCACATTTTGAGACGGAGTAGCCCTGGTTATCAAGCTCAGGGCCCAGGGCTTCCAGCTTCAGAACTTACATTCTTTTTGACCTGGCTGGCTTTGTGCCCTTGCCTGTTGCCTTTGCTTCTCCAAAGGTAAAGTATGGAATGTTTGCCTCACTAGAATGAAGAGAGAATGCATTAGATAAGTTCTCCAGAGCACTAAGAGATAGAAGGCCCAGAAAAATAAAAGGTTATTCAACCCCACTAGAGACTTGAATCACTGAAAAGTAGATAATAAAGAACTTACGTAACAATTCTTTGTCTCTTAGTAAATAAATGGGATGTGAGCCACGAAGTCACTGAAGGTCTCTCTTAATCTTTGAGTGGGTGGTGTTTTTCATGGGTTCATGGGAACGTTGAGCTCCCTGCTTTGGACCCTATGCCGTGCTTAGCAAAGTTGTTGTTGTTGTTTTTTAGTTCCCACCTGGTATCTTATTCTTCCAATAACTCCATAGCAGGTCAATGATGATGTAGAATTCACCACATAATAATAAAATCGCTTAGGTTTCTGTTGCTTTGGAGACCCTTTCCTTTCAAGATATTTGTTGTGTGGGTCTTAACTTACTTCAGCTACTCTATTTGTACCGACTGGAGTTAATCTTCGTGTCCAAGACGTATGAAGTACTAAACAACTGAACAAGTTGTAGAGCATAATCTCATGTTTATAAAATCTATAAAAATTTATCTATCACCTATCATCTATATCTTTTAATGTTGGTGAATAGATAGAAAAGGCCAAACCATTAACACTGCTTACCCCTGGGAGTGAGAATGGAGTGTACAAACAGGAGGGCAAAAGGACAGACTCTTACTTTTTACTTTATACATTCCTGTACTGTTTGAATTTTAGTAGGTTGTTTTGTCTTGTAGCTTAAAAAATATTTAATAAAAATTACCGACTGTAATCATAACTACCCTCTGCGAGTCTTCTCCAACATTTTAAAAGGTGCCCAGAAAGAGTTAACACCGAGAATTCCAGATGTTTGAGGTGAGGACAAATTCCTGATTTGGGGGTGGGGGTATGGTTAGGGATGAGAAGCAGCAAAAATTGGGGAGGGAAGGAAAGAGAACAAGGGGAGGACTGGCTACTTAGCTCTCAACCTCAACCAATAGCATAAAAGTTTCAGGCCCAACACCCATTTGTGGAGACTATTTCAGGGGTCAGGATTTGCATCTTACTTCATTGTCACAGTAACTTGTCAAAGAAGAACTAAGTGAGCTTTCAGGTTTGGCTACTTGGAGCCTGCTTCTATATTTGGAAGGTAAAGTCTTAAACCTCAGCTAATCTGGTGGTGGTGATTAGGGTGTTCATTCTTCTTTTTGTGGTGTATTGATAGGATGCTTATGGGATAGGGCTTTATGATCACTAACAATGTTAAGTATAAATTTCTAACAATGCGGGGTGATTCTTCCTGGTTTTTCTCTGCAGAGGGCAAGACCCAGTCTGGTGAAACTTTAGGGAGGCTCTCTCTTGAGTAGGCTCTCCATGGAAAGAAGGGAATACATATACTTTGGTTGTTTACAATTTTTATGTCATTTCCCCTTTGTTAAGCTTTCACAAGGATTATAATTGCATGTAGCAAACATTGCTTACAGGAGAGAAGCATTTAATGGAATGCTCTCTACTAACATTGTAGAATGGGTTCTTGCTTTATTTTCCATTTCAGTAAGAAGTCTTAAAACTCCCCTCATTCATGACAAAGCTATTTTAAGTGAGAAAGCAATAAAAACAAGAAAAGGGGTTTGGGAAGAGTCATCCACTGAAATCACCCTAATGTTTGGTTCCAAAGTTCTCTGTTCTGAGTTTCACTGGAACCTCTTTCTCTTCGCCATAAACTAGCAATGGACCCTTATGTGATTCAGAAGAACGGCAATGGCACCCTCCCTCCAGTTCTGGATGTGCAGGTCAACACTGGTGGGAGAAGTTCCGTGCAAGGGAAAATGAAAGGCAGGAAGGCCAGATGGTGCGTGAGGCCCTCGGAAATGTCCAACAGAACTTTCAATCCCCTCCGGGGCTTTGTGGACAGCATGAAGGTTAAGACAAATCCAAACAAAGCTCTGATTTCTCTGTCAATTGGTAAGTAGGGGACAGTTGACAGGGGCAACTGTCGTTATTTCCCCTACCCTGATCACCAAAGGCTGGTTAGAGAAGATGGGAGTGGAGGGTGAGTCTGAGTACTGAACATGGAAGAGTAACTTCTTGTGGCTCCATTTTTTTTTCTCTCCCATGAAAAGGAGACCCAACTGTGTTTGGAAACCTGCCTACAGACCCTGAAGTTACCCAAGCAATGAAAGATGCCCTGGACTCAGGAAAGTATAATGGGTATGCTCCATCCATTGGTAAGCTCCTCCTGAGAACCTTTACCTAGGGGCCTCCAAGTCTTTACTGCTCTTATAAGAGGACTAAATTTCTAGCAGTTCTCCTTGCTTTTCTGATGTATAGTTCCTAAAGAGAAACTAAGACAACATGGCCATTTGGATTGGGAAAGGAGTCTCAGGTGCTTAAATATAAGCCATAAAGGTCTAACATCTTTATAGGCTTCCTTTGGCAAACTGGCATCTCATCGCTAGGCTCCCTTACATACTTATTTCTCAAATAATGCTCCTATCCTATCATTATTAATTCTAATACGAAGACCTTGGGTCTGGCTGAAGCTGCTTGTTTACTGAGTCCTCTAGGTGATTAACTTACTTACGGCCCTATGCATATAGCTCCTTTGCTTTATTTCTTCTTCTGTCTATATTGAAGGCCTATTTTTACTTATGAAGCCTATTTTCAATTATGGTTAAGAGCTCAGGCTACTAACCAAAAGGTTAGCAGTTAGGATCCACCAATTGCTCCTTGGACACCCTATGGGGCAGTTCTACCCTGTCCTATACAGTCGCTATGAGTTGGCATTGACTCGAAGGCAACGGGTTTGGTTTTGTTTTATTTTAATTATGGTCTTCAGCACACTGAAATGCAATTGTAACTATTTAAGGTTAAAGAGGTAAAAAACCAAGAACAACAAAAAATGGGCTGTCATGTTGGAAGGGTAGAAGGTTGTTTCTGACAAAAAGATATTTTTCAGATTTAGGTTTAACTCTCTCCACCTATTAAAAATTTCTACTCAGAAATTTTTGGTAAAAAAAGTGATTCCTTGGCTGTGTTTCAATGTTGCACATTTTCCCCTGTGCATATGTGCACATAGAAACATATTGTATGCCAAATAAAATGCAGAATAATAACCCAGTTTCATGCTAAAACAGAATTTTGAAAACATCTCAAAGAGGTATCAGGGACATGGATTTTAGGTTGATTGCTTAAATTTTACAAAGTTTCTTACGATAAAAATCAAAACATAGTCAAGACCAAAAATGAGGTTATAAAAAGTTTATAATGACTTTCATATCCCAAGTATTAGGGAACTGATTCAATCTGAAAAGCCAACACCAAGTCTCCATTTGACAAATAAATGCTCAAAAGATATAAAATTTCATATCAAAGGAAATACAGACAATAAGTATACATCCAGGAAAATGTTCTTCCTCATTAACAATTAAGTGGAATTTATATAACTTTAAGAGACCCATCCGTATCTTTTAATGAGCAAAAATTATGAAATATTGCCTCTGGCCTTGCTAATGGAATCCTTTTGGAGAACAATTCTATAATATACGATAATGGGCATAAAACTGCCTATACTTTAAAATTGTAAATTAACACGTGGGAGTATAGTACAAGAAAATAATCTAAAATAAAAAAATTGTACAAAAATGCTTATAGCTATATTATATAATGTAAAAAACTTAAAATGGATCCAATCTATTGAGTACATTGATTAAAACTTTTCAAAAAGGATAGAATCATGGAATGTTATCTGGAAGGGACTTAGGAATAATGTAAATCTTTTATTTTACAGAGGAAAGACATAATCACAGTAATTAAGATAGTGCAGAGTATTCTATAGTCTGGCGAGCTCTTTCTTGTTATTGTTTACTATGTTTGTACTTAATATAAAATTGTAAAATCTTAAATATAAAGTTAATGTCCTTTATCCATAGAGGCTGAGAGCTAAACCGTATAGCATGTTCTCTGAGCAGGGGCAGAAAGTAGCCTGAAGCCCATGTTGCCTCTCTCATGCATCACTGTCAGTTGAGGATGAAAACCTCCAGCTTCCACCACCCCCCACTCTTTTCTTCCAGGTTACCTATCCAGTCGAGAGGAGATTGCTTCTTATTACCACTGTCCGGAGGCACCCCTGGAAGCTAAGGTGAGTCTTATACAAGGTACCAACTGTGAAGCAATTTAGGGCAAACTACCCTTTTCCTTGTTTCTGGTCCACAAGGAGTAAAGGTTTTGGAGGAAGGGAAGCTGAAATGATCTCCCTTTAGCCATTTGAAGACTTCTCATATAGTAGGGGCCACTAATCAATTAGTGACTATTTAATATCATTACATTTAATGTATGATAATAATGTTACATACAACTTACATAATATCTGTCGCAAGGAGGCTCAAAGGACTCAGACGTCACCCTATATTTGATTCTCTGAAGAAGACCATTGGAAAAAATTCCTATAAACTAAATAATTGAATTTTTTTATTTCACCAGTAGGATCTTTCAAAATATATAGATCCCTCACTCACGTAAAGATCACTCAGGTGTGAAGATTGAGATACCGTGGCACATTGAATTGATGGCAGTGCCAAATTTAAGATTAAATGCCACCCTTCCTTCTATTGTCTATTGTATGGAGTCAGTACTTCCTAATGTAAGAGATGCCCTTCATCTGTATTTCAAAGAAGGACAAGGCTTCAAATCTCTGGCCGAAAGTAAATAACCAGGTGAAAAAGTCCAAGCCCATGTGCTATCCCATGGAAACGTGCTGAGTCACAGTCAACCTGTCCTTTTAAAGTGATTTTTCCCCCCAATGGCCAACATTTTGAACAATATTTAGATATGGACATATATAAACATATTAATTTCTTTTGGTTTTGGCTTAGTACAGTCCCTGTTACTTTACTTAGAACTTGAAAAAGTAAGTTTATTATTGCTCCCCACTCAGCCATCTGACGAGCTCTTTTCTTCTCTTGCTGTTGGAAACACAGGATGTCATTCTGACAAGTGGCTGCAGTCAGGCTATTGAACTTTGTTTAGCTGTGTTGGCCAATCCAGGACAAAACATCCTAGTTCCTAGACCCGGTTTTTCTCTCTACAAGACTTTGGCTGAATCTATGGGAATCGAGGTCAAACTCTATAATTTGTTGGTAAGTGACTTTTTAATTTTAGCCTCAAGTGCTCTATTACTAGCCCATAAGAAGGTGGGCGGTCAAGGCCACAGACCATTTTATTATTTACATTACACCCTTGGGTTAAGTGAGTATTCCTCCTAAGTTTCTCAGAATTATCTTAGTCTCACCCTTTCTTCCTCTCCAGCCAGAGAAGTCTTGGGAAATTGACCTGAAACAACTGGAATCTTTGATTGACGAAAAGACAGCATGTCTCATTGTTAATAATCCATCAAACCCCTGTGGGTCTGTGTTCAGCAAAAGGCATCTTCAGAAAATTCTAGCAGGTAAGTCCAGCTGACTTCACAGAGGAGAACAAGGAGAGAGAAACCCCTATCTGGTTTCTGAAATGAGAAAAAAAGAGTCCTTCACTACATTCCAAACCTAGGACAGAGGGGAGGAGCTCCACTGGGGTCTCTAGAGCACAACATGTCACAGGAATGCAGGACTTGTCTAAAAGAAGGAGAAAAATAAGAAATGCTTGCCTCTCCACCACTCCCATCACATGGAAGACAGAATTTGAAACAGCTAGTTAATTCAATAACAAATTGAGGCTTTCTACCCTGGAAGAATTAGAAAAATTTATAGTTCTTAAAGAGGAATTCAAATGAAATGTAAAGTATAATAAAACTAGGTGAATATTAGGTGTTAAGGCAATTCCCACTAAAAATGATTTCAGTATGTTTCTCTTTTTTTCAGTGGCTGCAAGGCAGTGTGTCCCCATCTTAGCTGATGAGATCTATGAAAATATGGTGAGTCCAAGCAGGATACATCACCTACTGGTATCTCAATCCCAAATTATTTTATGGGGATCTTTAGAGGTAGTGATTGGAATAATCAAAAGAAACTCCTAATCATCTCAGTACAGAAAATTAGTTCCCCTGCATTAACAAATGTGTGTGTGTGTGTGAAGGAGCCCTGGTTGCACAACAGTTAAGTGCTTGGCTGCTAATTGAAAAGTTGGCAGTTTGAACCCACACAGTGGCTTCTTGGGAAGAAGACCTGGTGAGTTGCTTCCATAAAGATTACAGTCAAGGAAACCTTATGGGACAGTTCTACTCTGTCACATGAGGTCACTATGAGTCGACAATACCAACAACAACCTGTGTGTGTGTGTGCATCTCCATGACCCCTTAGCCACTTTTCTGAAATCCAAAAAGCCATGAAAACCCAAAGATATTTGGAATTAATTTGGTGGCAAAATCTGATTTGACCTGATATGAAAATATTTATAGATTTTATTTGTCCTATTTGTGAATCTATATATTTGTTAACAGTGTAAGGAAAGTGGCAGAAATATTAGTATTCTTAATTAATG